GGTTGGATGAAAAACAAACTAAAATAGATGTATGTGAGTGCATGTATAAACACATACTGAAATATTATTCAGTCATATAAAAGAAAAAAAATCACCAGCTATGGTTGTATATACCAGGTATTCCACCACTCAGGAAGAGACAAGCTATCTCATGTTCAAGTATGTTTGATTACATAGCAAGACTTTGTCTCAACTATCCACCATCATCCCTAACATACAGTACAAATGAATCCAAAACACACAGAGACATAAATAGAGATGTAAAGCCTATTATTCTACTTACATATGGTGTGTAAAATAAATGAACAGAAGCAAAGAGTAGAATGTTGGTTATCAGGGTTGAATAGATGACTCATCAGTTAAGAGTCCTTCCTGCTCTTCCACCGGCCCTGAGTTTGGATTCTAGCACCCATGTTGGGAGGCTCACAGCATCTGTAACTCCATTCTCTCATATACACATATACATACTTTAAAAATTAACTTTAAACAAAGAGGATTGGTTACCAAGAGCTAGAGGAAAATAAAAGTTTATTATGTGTATGTGTACAGACATGTGTTCAGGTAGAGGTTAGAGGTGGATATTAGTTATGTTTCTCTCCCTCTATGTATTTTTAAGTTTCTAACTAGAGTCTGTCTGTTTATCTATCTATCTATCTATCTATCTATCTATCTATCATCTATTTATCTCTCTCTCTCTCTCTCTCTCATTGTATGTGGGGGGGGTACTACATTATGCAAGTGGAGAAGTGGTAAGCATAGTGAGCAACCCAAGGCTTAATCATGTCAGGAAAGCACTCTACGTAATGGGCTATATCCTCAGGTAATCATGTCTTCATTTTCTTTCTTACAATTGCCTTCTGGTACAGCTTGCAGTCCCCTGAGTTTTGGCATACGGTTCTGATGCAGTCTAGGCATCCTGAAATGATACACTTTGGTGGTCTTGATTGGGTTCACTTCCCCAGCCACTTAAAGAATTTACAGGCAGGAAGAATCTGAAGCATGGCCTGTAGCAGCAGAGAAATCTGAGGCACAAAACCAGAATCAGCAGTTGAAGGGAGGTGCTTGTTTGGGGGAGGGAACCACACATGCAGTTGATATACAGAGAAAAAGGCAAAGCAGAGGGGAGACTTGGGAAGCTGAAAAATCTAGTTTCTTCTGAGGCAGGGAGGGGGCTGGGAGTTTTAAAGCCTCTGAAGAGCCCCCCCCCACTTTAGAGTTAGTCAGTTTGAAGACAGAAAGCATGCTTAATTGATTAGCAACTGTGATGTGTCCTGTTCTGACTCTGTCTTGAACTCTGAACTGGTCCCTCAGCAGGGGACCTGCTGGTGGGGATAAAAAGCTATGAGACTTTTGTCTCACATCAGGAGGTTGAAGAAGAAGCTAGCTAGCTTCCAACCCAGCCATGGCCTCTCTCAGTTCTATCTGCCCTTCTGCCCTCCTTTTGTCTAGCTAGAATTACTCACCTTTTAGCTTGCCCCAGGTTTCAGTGAACCTCAAGATCAAATTAAATCTTTTGTGTGTGTGTGTTCAACCCATTGCATTCTCACCTCAGAAACAGTTCTTACCACCTGCTCACTTGGGGTCATGTTCGATTCCTTGGGACAGCCACTGTGACCATCCTTCACTGTCATGTCTTCACATGTGGCACATACCAGCTCTCAACCAAAAATTACTGTGGTGTTCTTACCACATCCTTTCTTTTCTCACCTCACCACCAAATACTTTGTTGCTGTGTATAGGACATATTAGCTTCTTGAGACCGCTGTGACAAAATATGCCTGGGTGAGTTTCTCTTTTGAGATCACATCTATACTTGACAAAATTCCCAAACATCAGCTGTATGCATGCCACATTTGGACAAATGCCTAGCATAGCCCAAGATTCTGTGGAGATACAGAACACTAGTGTCATCTCAGAGAACCATAGATATTGTCTTCTTTTTTTTCTGTCATAGAAAGCATAATTTTCAACCAGGAAAGGTCACAGTTTAAACATGTCGAACTCAATTGCATCATATTTTGATGGGCAATGGGGTGGAACTTGAGGCATTGTACCTACTCTATAGGCATTCTATCAGTGAAACATGTCCCCATCATTTACTGGGGAATCTATGCAGGAGTTCTACCAACTTAGCCACATCCCCAAGCCTGTCACTGGGAAATCCTAGGCAGGGTTCTAACTTCTGCCCACATCCCTAGTCTCTCACTGTGGGATTCTAGGAAGGGCCTTAATCATTGAGCCGCAACCTTAAACCTCCACTGTAGATTCTAGGCAGGAACTCTACCTGTTGATCCACAAGCTCAGTCCCTCACTGGGGCATTCTAGGCAGGGGCTCTACTTTGTGGATCACACTTCCAGGTGCACTCTGGTAGTAGGTAGATGTTCTACTTCTTAGTCATACCTCCAGGCTCTCGGTGGAGATTTTAGGCTTTATAACTGAAGTATTTTCCAACCTTTTTTGTTTCTTTGTTTTTCAATTTTCACATGTCTCTCAAAGTTCCCTAAACTGACCTTGAACTTCTCTTCCTCTACTTTGAGCCTTCTGGGTTGCAGAGATACCAAAATGGCCATTATGTATAACACTTCACTGATTTATAACTGGATCTTGCTTTTGGGTCAGGTTCCATACTTCAAAAATATAAATCAACAGTTTTCAAATACACTTACTTTTGCCTCTGTATCTAGTTAACAAGGTCTGGCAACATTTTGTTTGTTACCTCTGCAGAAGGGAGTGAGACTCTTAAACCTTAATGTTAGAGGCAGAGGAAGCTGCCAAATATACTACAAAGACCTTTACCCAACAAAAAGAAATATCCATCCTGAAATGCTGATAGTATGAAGAAGCAGAAACCCAGATGTCAAGGGACCTTCAATCCTCCAACTCTCTCCACCTCTAAGATTGGCCTGGTATTTCTAGACTTGAGACGAAGTGAACTTAGGCTCCACACAGAGTTGTACATACCACATCCATGGAAAGGAACAGAGGGCACCACAGCAGCATAGAAAGTGCTCATGTTGTAGAATTTTACTTGCTTTCCTTTATACCTGCCTTCTTTTCTTCATCTCCTTTAGTTTGTTTATTTTTAAAACATTTTTTAAATAATGAATCTCACTTTGTAGACCAGGCTCACCTCATACTCACAGAGATCCTTCTTCCTCTATCTCAGGAGTGCTGGGCTTTAAAGAAACATTTAAACAATATATTTTGATTATTTTCATCCACAAGTATCCAATATTTCCTCTGGAGCCTTTCTTCCTAATATACCACCACCTCCTCCTCCTCCTCCTTCCTCTTCCTCTTCCTCTTCTTCATCTTCTTCTTCTCCATCTCTGTCTGTCCCTCCCTCCCTTTCTCCCTTCCTCCCTCTCCCTCTCCCTCCCCCCTCTCTCTTAGTATTTTAAGACAGGCTTTTTCTGTGACCTCAAACTCACAGTGCTATGCTTGCCTCTGCCTCCCGAGTGCTGGGATTAAAGGTGTGTGGCACCACCAGCTTCTTCTTTAAATAGTGTGTTTAATTAGTTTTTTTAATTGGTTTAATTAATGACTTTTATTGTATGTGAATAGAATTGGTCCATGGACCATTTCTCAGTGGCTACATCCCTAAAGAAAAATGACTCCTCCTGCCCCAGCAGTCACTAACTGCCTCATTACATCCAGAGCCATGCATGATGCATTGTGCCTGTTCTATTTATACATTCCAGGATTCACTGGTCAGGGAACCCCTCACAGTTAAGAGGGGTCTTCCCACATCAATTAACACAATCAAGAAAACACCCCACAGGCATTCACAAAGGTCTATCTCCCGGATGGTTCTAGATTCTGTCAAGTTAACAGTTAACATTAACCACGTCATACATTTACTGTGTGTCAGGTGCTCTGGGGTAGATTCACAATTTAGAGTAATGGGAAGGTAACATGCATAGCTGATCATATCATCAAGCAAGCACCTGTCATGTCCTCCATAAGCCCTCTGTCAATGACATGTAACCCCATCTCTTATTCCCCCCTCTTTTGGGGGGTAGACATAGATTTTATGTACAATAATGTACACAGTTGAGTGTACACTTATCCCTGCATCTCATGAAAACAATGCATAATGAGTTTTGGAAACATAGAAGGAGATTTTGCGTTTTTCTTGGTAAACAGTCAAAGCTGGGAGGCTCATGACATTCATAAGCACAACCTTCAAAGTAATACATCAGGGCAGGAGATGAAAGCAGACCAGGTACAGGACAGGGCCTGGGCATGGAGACCTGGGAATGTAGGTTTTTATTTTAGGCAAATGAAGGACACTTACCAGTTCAAGGTGGGTCTTAGCCGCAACTGGAAACTTTAGACTTGAGTCTAATGTGGTGAGAAGGCAAGGAAGAATTTGTGCAGGGGCAGGGGAGGCTGACTTTGCATTTTTCAAAGGTCACTGTGGTAGCTTGGTTGAGGGAAAATCACTCAGTGTCAGTAAAGACAATTCTCAAAGTCAAAGAGTGGAGAAGGGTTTGAACTAAGGTGAAGTGGCAGGCAGCTCGAGACTCCCTCAGAAAGTTCTCAAAGGAAGACATCTAAATGACATTTGACAGACTGTGTCCCTGAAAGCCTGGTTGTGCTTCCCTTCAAACATCTAACCCTGTGCATTAGGGTTTCCATCACCACATTTCAAGGGAACCCCAAGGTTATCAGTTCTTTTTATTCAACAAATACTTTTGGTTGTAATTACTGTTTTTGATATTTTATTAATTTTTAATTTACTGTATTTTGAGACAAGGTCTCATGTAGCTCATGCGAGTCTCAAACATGGTTTATTGAAGAAAATGGCCTTGAACCCCCCTACCTCCACCCCCCTAGAACTGAAATGACAGACCTACATCACCATATGTAGTTTATTCGGTGCTAGAATAGAGCTTATGACTTTGTACATGCTAGGTAAATACTCTACTAAAGCTATACCTTAATTACATCTTTTATTATTTGTGTGTGTGTGTGTGTGTGTGTGTGTGTGTGTGTGTGTGTGTTTGTGTGTGTTTGTGTGTTTCGTTACAGATTTTGCACAGGGGCTATGCTAATCTTCTCTATGTCATTCCAATATTAGTAAATGTATTGCCTAAGTAAGCTCCTCTTTTGTTATGTTATTTGGTGTCTCTCTATACTGCTCAGACTTGTCTGCAAATCCTTAATCCTCATGCCTCACAGCCTACTGAGCAGCTGGTCCTATATCACATATCCAGATTATTTACCAAAATGGTTGGAGTCTGTTGTATGCTACACATTAGGGATGTAGCCACTAATAAGTTAGGCATGGTCCCTGGACACTTCTGACACATGGAGCCAATAAAGTGAAAAAATGAATGATAAAATAAGTGATGTGTTCCTAGCGGGAAATAAAGAAGACAGTGGCTATAGAAGAAAGGAAGAGTAGAGCTCTCTGATGAGGTGACAGTTTTTGTGGGGCTTGAGGTATGGAAGGATCCAGGTATACAGGCAGTCAAAATGAGTAACTCGTGGAAAGATCTCAAGATGTTAATGATAGGGAGAAAAAAATGACATGATAGGTAGTAAAGAAGAACACTAGGTGTGGAGATCTTGAGGTGTGTGTGTGTGTGTGTGTGTGTTATATGGTGTGTATACATGTATTTGCAGGTTTATTTATAGTCTTGAGGTTGAGACTGTGACTTGGTTTTTTTTTTTTTTTTTTTTTTTTTTTTCCCGAGACAGGGTTTCTCTGTGTAGCTTTGGAGCCTATCCTGGCACTCACTCTGTAAAACAGGTTGGCCTCGAACTCACAGAGATCTGCCTGCCTCTGCCTCCCGAGTGCTGGGATTAAAGGCGTGTGCCACCAACACCTGGCTCGACTTGTTGTAAATCTCTCAACTTAGTCTTTGAGGATGCGTCATTCAATCAAACCCTGAGCTCACTAATGTGACTAGTCTCACTGGCCAGCTTGCTCTGGGGATATGCTATCCATCTTAGTCACTTTTCTATTTCTGTGTTGAAAGACCACAATCAAAGCAACTTGCAGAAGAAAGAATTTATTGGGAGCTTACATAAATCCATGACCATCATGCCAGAAGCATGGCAACAGGCAGGCAGGTATGATGCTGGAGCAGTAGCTGAGAGTTTATATTCTTATCTGCAAGTAAGGTAGACAGAATATACTGGGAATGGTGTGAGCTTTTGAAACCTCAATGCCCACTACTAGTGACATTCCTTCTCCAACAAGGCCCACACCTCTTAATCCTTCCCAAATAGTTCTACTAACTGGAAACCAGTCATTCAAATATAAGAGCCTATGGAGGATGGGGGGCATTCTCATTCAAACTACTGCATCTGCCTTTCCAGGCTGGAATGAAAGATAAGCTACCATGCCCACCCAACTTTTATGCGGGTTCTGGGGAACAAAGCAAGGGTTCTACTTGGCAATGGCTTAACCACTGAACCATCTCTCCAGACCCACCTTGTTGGATGTTGTTGTTGTGTTCTCTGTTTGTTTGTTTGATTATAACACCCTCCTCCCCACCCCCAGGGACTGGGTGCTTTCTGAGTAGTCTAGGCTGGCTGGCAAGTGAGCCCCAGCAATCTTTCTGACTCTGCATTCTTCGTGATTGTGTTAGAAACAAAGAAAGAATAATCTCTGTGTCACACAAGAGAACAGGGGAACAAAGTTAAAATGGCTCAATGAGTCAATTTCTGCTTTTAAAGGAATATGCAGAACCCAAATCCCACTAGGAAGCAGAACAGAGCACTAAGTGCACTTGGCTGTTCTAATGGATGTGGCAACTCTGTCTTTCCTTGTGTTGGCAAAAAATAAATTTTCACAGTAGGATCACATACACACACTACCATGCTCAGCTCTTTATTTGTTTCTTTGTTTCTTATTGTTCTGGGTGGATTCTGGAGATCAGGATCAGGTCTCCATGCTTGAACAGCAAGTACTTTATCAATTGAATCATCTTCCCAACACATCATTGGAGGGTTTTGAGGGCAAAATAAGACCACAGTATGGAACAGAGCAAGGTTTGACGCACCCAAGAGGTAATGTACTGTCAGTGTTTAAATGGAGAATGCCATGTAAATGAGGTAGGGTTCAGAGCCAGGGTTTCTTAGTAGGACATTTGAAGTTGGATGATTTTCTATTTTGAGAGGTTGTAATTTGCATTATAGGATCTTAATTCCTCGGCCCTAGTCTCTGTTCTCTAAATACCTTTAATGTTCCCCTTCTCTCAGTTTGACGACCAAAAATCTCCAGATATTTCTAGATGGCCCTAGGATCTGAAAGGAAATCAGTTGCTTTAACTAGAGAATTACTATTTTGGACAACTCCTTCTACCTAGATACACTTGTCTGACTTCTGTCCCCTACATTACTCTTACCTACACTTAATTTTTTGTTGTTGTTGTTTTTTGTTTTGTTTTGTTTTGTTTTTAGCCAAGTTATCCTATAGCTCAGACTGGCCTTTAACTGACTCTGTAGTTGAGGATAACCTTGAATTTCTGATCTTTCAGTCTCCTTCAAAAACTGGGATTTCAGGTATGCACCTCCATCCCCAGTTTACAGTGCTAGGGTTGAATCCAGGGCTTCATTCCTGCTAGATGAGCTCTCTGCCAGACAAAGTATATTTTCTATTGCCCCTGAGCATTACATGAATGAAGATTCAATAGGCAACTTCATAGTCTTGAGTTATATATCTCTGTATGGATATATGGTTGCAAAACCTTGGGAACTCAGTGAGTCAGAAAGTTTTGTGAAGGGTGCAGCTCAGAGGAAATATTGAATAAATGTCTTTTGTTGTTATTTGGAATTTAATGCCCATGGCTTTGACTTCTAGTACCTTTTTGTTCCCTGATGTCTCACATCCAGCTAAGTGGTCAGTAAACATTATTACAGTCATCATAACTGTTGCTATGGGGATTGGCACTCAAGCTATCTCCAGATCCTCCATCATTCTTTCTTGACTTCTCTGCCTGACATTCTGACCGTCATTCATTCTTTTGTGGGAACTCCCTTCTTAAGACTTCTCAGCAGATTCTTCTGCGCTTCCTCTAACTCCACCTTGCCTGTGGCATTTGAAGTGGGGGTTTCACTTCCTTGTTTTTGAAATCAACTTTTCTGGCTGGTTAGATGGCAATACTATGAGGATCTTTTCTTCCTCTTTTCAGTTTTATAACTTGATTTGACATTTAAAAGTTAATTCTCACCCACAGTAGATTTATTATTTTTAATCAAAAGACTTTATTCAGAGACTAGGGGAAACGTGGGAGACGTCCATGCTGTCTGCTGTCCTCCACAATGCAGATCTGAGTTTTCCCTCTGGCTAAGAGAGGCAGTAGATTTTTTAATGTGGTAACGGGGACAGAGCTCATTTGGTGAATCCTTATTTTCTTTATGTTTTCTAGACAAAAACACATGGATACTGTATGGAAATTTCTTTATTCCTTTAGTCTGAAAAGCTTTGTGGAGCCTGGTATCAATGTCCACATTTGGAGTTCTCATCTCCTTCCTGACCAGGTTTTTTGATATGTTTGATGCCTAAGGGGCACACTTCTTAAAATGCAATCAATGGATGAGCTTGATCAAAATACATTGTACACACATATAAAATCCTTAAATGATAAAAATTTAAAGTGGAGAGTGATTGAGAAAGGCACCTGAAATATACTTCTGCTTCCACATACATATACATGCATGCACACATACACTAGCATACACATATGTGCTTGACACACAAACTCATGTATACACACAGACTCATGCACTCTCTCTCTGTCTCTCTCTCTCTCTCTCCCTCTCTCTCACACACACACACACACACACAGGCACACACAAATGGACTATTGTACTTGATGCCTATAATCACAGCATGTGGAATGCTAAGATATTAGAATTGTCATGTATTTGAATGTGCCTGGAATTCCCAGTTAGGGCTACAAGTATGAAAGACAGATCTCTGTTCTAGAGCCATCCAGTGAGTGGCTGGAGAGGCAAGGCTCAGTTGAAGAGTACTTGCCTAGCTTGCATGAGACCCCATATTCCCATACAACTGCCTGTGGAAGAGGGGAAATCCTAGCTTGGTGATGAATAGAAATTATTTACATCACCTAGTAGGTGTTCAATAAACAGCAGTTATGATCACCTATAGTGAAAGTAAATCCATTAATCCTGCTCTGCTTGCTCTTTATTTAAAGATTTATTTTATTTTATTTTTTTAATTATCTCTGTGCCTGAGTGAACATCTTGGTAGGAACTGAGCTTAAGAGTTCAGGCAAAAGCCAAACTCAGCTCCTCCTGCTCTTCCTTTCCTGTTCCTCCAGCTTCTATATTCTCTTTAGAAAACTCCCTTCCTCACTCCCACCTTCCCTGGTCTGGTCAATCGCAGCTTACCCTTCCACCTTGGGTTCTGAGACATCTGTTCCAGGAAGCCTGACCCACTCCCACCCACTTCCATGATAAAGTCTGCTGTATCATACTGACTTACTAGCTATCTTTCAATCCTGTATATGTTCATTTGTCCATCACCCTTGAGATACAAGCTGAGAATATGATGGGAGGGAGTCAAATGTGTTTAGATTACAAGTGGCATAAGTAGGGCAAGCAGACAGGTGAGTCATTCTTCACAAAATTGCCAAGAGGATGGTGAACTTAGGGGTGGGAGGTGGAGGTAACTGAAATACTTGTACCAGCCATAGATTTCTGCAGTTTAGTTCCAGGTACAAGATGTAAGAGAGACACGGATACCCTGAATCCCAAACTCTGAGTGCCTGCACTCACTCTGTTTCTTATAGATGGGTGATCTTAAATCCACCACAACTGGCTATTGTAAGGCTAAAAAGATGAAGATCTCCCAAGTGCCTGAATAAGAAGACTGAAGGATCAAGGAGATCCCATTTCTTTCCCTGGTTTATTTTTTAATAATAAGTTGAGAGAGGAGTTTGTGGAGAATTCTAAATCTTAAAATGTTTGCTTTGCAAGCAGGAAAACATGAGTTCAATTCTCAGAACTTACCTATAAAGCTCTGAGCTGTGCTCACAGTACAGTGCTGTGGTGGTGTGGTGGTGTGGTGGTGTGGTGGTGTGCTGGTGTGCTGGTGTGCTGGTGTGCTGGTGTGCATCTGTACTCC